CGGGCGCTCGGGCGGGCGGGAGCACAGAGCAGTGAGCGCGCGGCTCACCTCCTGGTCCCGGGCGGGCCCGAGGGCTGCGCCGTCGGTGGGACCGCCCTCGCTCTACTTGGCTTGGGTGCGGCGGCAGCGGCAGCGGCGGGACGGTGCAGTCAGAGAGGGGCAGGCATTGTTGAGTGATCTTCGTTATTCAGTTTCACAGGCTGGGCTTGGCAAGGGAGGGAGACACGGGAGGGGGGGTAGGAGGAGGAGTCAAGGAAACTTTCTACGCGGTGACTCTCTCCCCTTCCCTCCTTCCTTCTTGGCTGGCAGGATTTCATCCAGGGGGTTGGGGGAGACGAAGAAACCAAAGAAACCCAAAGCTAGGACCGGTCAGCACATCAGAGACCTGCACTTGTTTGGAAAAGGTGCCCCAGAGCCCCCAGGCTCAACTGTGGGGTAAAATTTCTCTTCACTTTGGGAACAACCACGGGCTCTCAAGAGACCAGAGGAGGCCTTCAGAAAAAAACCTGAGTTCCACAGACACCAGTCCCGCTAACTAGATTTTATGTTGAAGGGAAGAGAGACCCGAGAGAAAGAGACGTTCGAGGTCACACGACTGATAGGGACAGCCTCAGAACTAGCGCTCAGGTCATTCCTCCGCATCCTAACCTGACCAGGGGAGGAAGGAGGTCCTAGACTGAATGGTTCCTTGTAGGTTGGCAGTAGGAATGAGGAAGGACCCCCTCGATGGGGAACCATGCCCTGACACAAAGAAACTGAAGTGGATTCCACCAGATGCATAGGGCATGGAAATGAACTCGTGTAGGCTGTTAGATTTGAAGTCTGAAGATCACCCTGATCTCTGGACCCAGGATCTGTGGACTGCCTCTGGTTGCCACAGCTGGTTGCCAGAGCTTGCCAGCGAGTCGGTGGACTGGCGCCACCTGGAGGCTCGGTGCTGCAGTTGCAGCTAAGCTACCTAAGGGTCCAACTCCTTCCATAATCCATCCCAGGACCTTGGAGAGCAAGGGAAATGATGGCTAAATCTCAAGACCCTGCTCTCAGGCTCCACTGGATTTAGCGGTGGTTTCTTCGTGTGTCCTTTCGTTTTGTCTGGTTTCCATATCTTTGTTGAGTCAAGCCCCAGGGTAGAACTAGGTCAGGTTGGGGCCCCTTTTTGCCCTGACTCCCCATGGTCCACACCAGAAACATGAGGATCTCAAAGAAGCCAAGATGCCTTCCATACTTTACTTCTACACCCCAAACATTCTCATCAGTCCCTCTCCATCCCTCGTGGATACTCTGGGACTGATGAGGAGAGAGTTGCCCTCTCAGATCAAGGAGCCAGAAGAACTCTGCATCCAGGACTCCTCAGTGATAGAAGTGGAAGATGAGCCCTTAGGAAGGTCACAGAAAGGCCCTCCTTGGCCATGCAAACCTGTAGGCAGAAGCCCCCCCTCTGTATTTCCCATCTCACTTATCCCATGCCTTCACCTTGGCTCTACCCTACCCTACACACACACACACACACTATTCCCACCCATGATGCTTCAGGCCTCCTGGCAAGGCTGAAAAACCACACTTGGGCCTGATTCCACCCCTGTAGCAGCCTTCTGAAGTGGGCTTGAGTAGCTCAGAGCTGAGTTTCTAGTCTGCCCATGGAAGGGTCATCCAGGGGCCAATTCCTTGGACTCTCGAGAGATGCAGAACTGAAGAAAACATTGCTATTCAGTCCTTTTGGGAACATTCCTGGATAACAGAAAGCCCCGCTTAAGAAAGCCACACTTATCTTATGTACGGGTAGTGTGAGCACATATGCTGTGACACATGACGTAAGCGTGGAGATCAGAGAACAACTGGTGAGCGCCAGTTCCCTCCTTCCACCGTATGGGTTCCAGGGATTGAACCCAGCTTGTCAGGTTTGGCACCAAGCACTCTTACCTGCTGAGCCATCTCAACAGCCCAGCCCCCCAATCTTGTTATTTAGCTTTTTGCTTTTGTTTCTTGAGTTAGGGTCTCCTGTAGCCCAAGCTGGCCTCAAACTTGTAGCTGAGGATGACCTTGCATTCTGATCCTCTTGTCTTCACATCCTGAGTGCTGGGATTATAGTCACAGGCTACCATGCATTTATGTGGCACTGGGGATCAAACCCCGTGTTTCCTGCCTATAAGCCAAGGATTCTACAAACTGACTACCTCCCAAGGCCTCTGTAGCTTTTATTCCCCTTCTTCCCCCATGCCTGAGAAGGACCCTCTCAGACCATCTGCTAACCCCTTGCACACTGCTAAGAACCAGGTTGTCCAATGAGAACCCTGGCCACTCCCCCATGGACAGGATAGGGAACTAAATTCATTTAAAGGAGCACTGCTGTGGTTGGGTCAGGCATTCTTTGTGTCCTTCCAAATAACCTCCTCCTGCGGCAATCGGTGCCAGTGCTCAGGCTCCCTGCCATTAGAGTCTGACTTGGAGGTGGGCAGGAACTTGCGAGACCACTGGCAATTGCATCCCATGGTACACAGCCCAGTCCTAAAGCATCTGGGACAGATAGCCTCACCCGCACACCTTGTTTTCTTTTTCTTTTTCTTTTCCCTTGAGGGGTCTTTTAGTATTTCCCTTCCCCATATCCCTCCCATTCTTTCCTATATAAAAGAGAGGAAGAAAGCGAAGGAATCGGGAAACTTGGCAGGTCCGACCAGAGCCACCTCTGGTTCCTTACTTAAAGATCACAATATGGCTGTAGCACCTCTACCCTGGCAAGGGGCCTGCAGTGGCTGAAGATGGGCCCTGGAGACTGGCAGATAGACGAGGAGGTAAGGTGGCACAAGATGAGGAATAAAAAATGAAATAATTCCTACACATTTGGGGTGGCAAATGATGAGTAAAGGGGACCCAGATCTTGGCTTAGCGGTACAGGATGCTGTGGGTAGAAAGGCTGAACTCTGAATACACTGGAAAAGCAGAAGATTAGCAATTAGGGGACACCAGGGAAAAGCCAAGAGCATGCCAGCTGCAGGTCAGCCGGCTCAGCTGGACCCAGGCCCCAGCTCTCATCCCGGCCCCAGGCTGAAGGATGGAGAAACGGAACATAACCATGAGTTTGACCATGTGTCTTTATTTCCTGACTCTGCCCTTTCACAGCATGAGGCCGAGTGGGGGCTGCTCTCCCAGGGAAGCCAGGCCTGGTGGATCTGCTGGGACACAATGCCCAGTAGGGCACAGAGCACCCCCCAACTCAAGGCAGCCCGTTCCGTAGTGCACTGTTCAGACAGTTGTAGAGGTGGATATACTGCTCCTGAGGGCAGACATGACAAGACTCGGTCACCTGCTTGCCCAGATCTGACCGAGAAAGGCTCCCAAGGGTCTCCTAACCCCTACTCCATCTGGAAAGGGTGGTGACCTGAATGGAGTTACCAGAACCTTTCCATCTTCGAACCCTTTCACAGTTAGTCCCCACCCCCACCCCGTGTGCTTCTCACCAGCGTTGGGGTCATGAGGTCACAGGCCTGTGACTGCCTCAGGGCCACATTGAAGACATCCACAGAGCACTCGGTCCCTGCTTGCTGTAGCAGCTGTTCCAGGGCCAAGAAGGTGCCCAGCTGGTTTGTGCCCTTGCTGTAATTGACTAGAGTTAGACGTGGGACCTCTGGGAATGGGGCAGTGTCTTGGGAAACCAAATTTAGTCCCAAGAACTGGGAAAGAATGCTAGGTGCTTAGTTTACCGCTAGTTAGAACCCTACCAAATCCCTGGGAATGGAGCAAAGACAGGGGCCTTGGGAGACTACCCTTTGACCCATAACCCTAGTTAACGCATGCGCATGGCGTTTGTCCACAGCACCTGGAGTGGCTGAGCAGGGTCCCTGGCTTCTTGCTCTTGCCGCGGGAGCAGCACTGGACCACAGCATTCAGGAAAGGCAGTAAGGTGGTTGCTGGGAGCTCACACCCAGACTCCAAGAATGGAAACTGCAAGCGTTGAACCTGCCTCTCAGTTCCACTCTCCCCCTGGAGCAAGGGCAAGGTCAACCAACATTGGTGCTGGGGAGGGTAGCAGGCGGGCGGAGGGTGGGGGCAGGATGGGAATCTCATTATCACCGCCTTCTGCACCATGCCCTGTGGTCTCAGCACCTACATGTATGACTCTGAAGAGGGTACAGGGCCACCCAGCCGTGTTGCTCTCAGCCACTCTGTGCACCGTCACCATGCCTGTGACAACAGGCTGCATCTCCACCGGCCAGAAGTCTTGCGGCTGGAACCAAAGCAGGCCTCTCAGTCAGTTTCCAAGATCTCTGCCCATGCCGGGGTCAAACAATGCCACATACTTCTTCCTCTGTCCCGCTCCTGGAGCCACACATCCTACCCCTTCACACCCCTCACCTTTTCTATGGCATCAGGCAGGCCCAGGGAGACCAGCACGTGGGCGCCATGCTCCCACACCAGTTCCCAGAGCTCCTTTGGTCCGGCAGAGCCAGTCAGCACCACGTGGTCCCGACCGCACGGCCCACCCTGCAGATCACAGCTTGTTGGTTCCCAGGGATTAAGGTGTCTCCTGGCCGTCCCACTGCTTGCTCTTGCTGCGGAAGACCCCAGGACCCAGACATTCCCCGCCCCCCCACCGCCCTGAAAGCACTAATGATCAGAGGGCTAGTGATAGGATTTCAAGATCAGCATCATCTCACGGGGAAGAGCCAGGCTTCTAGCATGCTGTCAGCAGGGCTCTCCTCCACCAGGGAGAACTGAATCTGAGAACGATCACCTGCGGAAGAATGGTGAGGGTTCAAGTGGTCTCCACTAGACATTTTTCCACCCCACCCAACATTGTACCAAGTGAGACTTACCCGGGACAACGCTGTTCTGATTATAGCCAGGAGGGGGCATCAGAGAGCCACTCTTATACTTGATGGCCTGCTTCAGGAGCTGGGAAAGAGACAAGGTGAAGTCAGCCAGGGAGGACTGTGCCCCATTGTCACTCACTCCTTGACCCCTAGTGTACCTTGTACTCTTTCAAGAAACCAGCATTGGCATTGGCTGCTCTCTTGGCACAAGCCTGTGCAAAATTCAGCACAGAGATGGGGCCGGAGCTGGAGGAGGGAGAAGGGACTTGGTTATCCAGCCCGTTTCCAGTCGTCTCTGCTGGGTCAGTGCACCAAGGCTCAGACCCTAGTGGGAATGCACAGGACACCAGTGCCCACCTGCCAGGACCAGAAGGTAGCTGACTTACTCTGAGGTGTCAGAGGGCCCTTCCAGAATCTTGTGGAGCAGACAACGGTGCAGGAAGATGTACTGACTCTGCAGGGAGAGGGCATTGGCCTAGTAGGTGGCCTTGGTCCAGGAGGGAAATACTCCTGGCCCCAACCCACCAGACAGGGATGTAGAACTAGAGAGCCTTTAGGGAACCTTCCCTGAGTCGCCCACAGTGTCGAGGGTGGCAGGGGCCAGTCCCTTCTCTCCTTTTGCAGAAAGGAAAGTGGCAATCCAGGTAAGATGGTAGTCTAGGACTGTCCCTCACTCCAGACTCCTCTACACGCCCCCAGGAACCTCTTTTCATGCTCCTGTGAGGCCATCTACTGTCTTCCACTCCTTTGGGTCTAAGTTGCCCAGCCCAGTGCACAGGGGCCTCACCGGTGTCTGGATCATGAGGGGCCGGTGCAGTCGAAGCATGTACACAGTGTTGAACACGTCAACCATCTGCTCTTCCTCTAGCTGCTGCAGTAGCCTCAAGAGAGCCACAAAAGTGCCTGTCCGGCCCACACCTGCGCTGTAGGGACAACCCCCGAGGAGCTAAGTACGAGAGGGAAAGGGCTCCTCCAATCTAGAGCCCTTCCCCCACTCAAGGCCAGGCAGACCCTCCACCCCACCCACCTGTCCTAACCTGCAATGCACCAGGGTGGGTCCCTTGCCCTGAGTGATGTGCACCTGCTCCCGTACCAGGTCCACAAACGTGAGCAGGGAGCTGGGAGCCTCCGGGACACTGTGGTCTGGCCAGGTAGTGAACTGTAGCTGCCTCACCCGCCGCTGCGTTTGCTGGATACCCTGAGGATGGTGAGGGAGGGCCGTGCTGATTTCCTTAGCCTTTTCCTAACCCCAGAAAACCTTCCTCACCAACTCTTTAAAGGTGGAGGTCAGCCCCTGCTTCAAATGGAGGGCCATAACTACATTGACATTGTCCTTGCCCCAGCGTGGACCTTTGATCCTCCTCTAGTCTCCTGGTCTATCTCCGCTTCCCAAAGATGACCAGGCAGAGAGGCATTCTCGTGTCTGGCTCTCCTGCTCCAAGAGGTCACAGGTTGGAGTGAGCAGGGACCTCTGAGCTGAGCATGGGGTAGAAGAGCCTGCTCTTTCTTTACATTGGTGTGACCTTGGCTCAGTCTTTAGCCTTCACTGTATGTGTGTCTTTCTACTTCTTCCCCACACACTACCCTGGCCAACGACCAAGAGCTTGTGATCTTCATTGGAAAACAGACCATGAGGACCAGGAGAGAGGGGAGTCTCGGTTTTTATGCCTTTCCCACCAACCCTGTACCCTGGGCACACACATGCTGCAGCTGGAATTCCCTCCTGGTCCACTCCTCCTCAGGCTCCTCTGCCAGGAGGTGGATGGTGAGGTGACCATGGGTGACAGGGATGGAGTTGCCTGGCCAGTAATGCTCACACAGCACCTAGGGTGAGGGGGTTTGAGAGAAGAGGCATGCTTTTACACCAAGCCTTGTCAGTGTACCCAGTCTCAACCACGCCCACCCATCTCTTTGGTTCCCCCCATTCTAATGGAATTCTGCTCTTTGCTTCCACCCAGCTCTGAGACCATCTCTTCCAGAAACTTCCATCCTCTGGCTGCACCACGGTACCTTGACAGCCCTCTTAGGACTCAGTGTTGGCTGTGGCTTCCTGAGGAAACTGTATGGTCCTGACTAAGGAGCAGTCTGTCCCTTCATCATTGCCTTAACAGGAGGACACACTTAGCTGCCTCTGTTTGCTCTGGGCTAGGACTGTACATGCACAGCACAGAGGAGGTAGCCCTGGGCTCACAGAGGAGCCTTCCCTGCCTTGTACTGACCAGAGAGAACCGAATCAAGCCAAGAACTCATGAACCTGGTCCTTTCCCATATTTCCCCATCCTAGGTGATCCTGAGAATTCCCCACTAACTCCAAGCCCCATTCTGGCTTGCCTGCCCTAAGATGGTACTAGGGAGGGATTCCAGCAAGAAGGGTATATGCCACCTGGTGGTCATTCTGGGAAGCTGCAGGGCACTCACCCGCCCGTTCTCCATGCCCACGGTCAGCATGATGATGACCTGAACTTGCTGCTCCCATACCAGCCGCCAGAAATCCGCTAGCGTCTTCTTGAGGGGCCCCTGAGTGGCGATGAACTCTTGTGGGTGGCTGTAGCCCTAAGGTATGAGGAGCAGGGCACGGGCATGTTACCAGACATGTTACCATCAAACATTCAGCAGTGGATATGATCATGTATGACCTACAGGAAACGTGATCATGGACGAGGATCTGAAGGACACTACCACCACCCATGTCCCATTTGGAAGGGGTAAGAAAAACATACATGAAAATATAAGATCCTGACCTGCTAGAAACAGTCTGCTCAGCCATCCCCCTCCCTGAGCTGGGAGTGACTTTGTTATCTAGAGACAGTGATTTATGATGTAGCTCAAACTTCCTTACACTTCCAATTCTCTTGCTTCAGTCTCCCATGTGCCGGAATTACAGGTGTGTGCCACCATGCCTAGCTCCAGACCAACCTTCCCAAAGCTAAGTTGTGTGTGTATTGTATGTGTAAATATATATATTGAGTATATACACACGCTCATGTCTTCCGTGGCTGCCGTTGCCTGGCAAATGAAATCAAAGTCTTCAGGGTAATAATCAAGGTTCTACTTCATCCATTTCATACCCACCTCCCACCACTTGACACTCCACTCTATAGTCTGCTGGCTACACACACACACACACAGACACACACACACACACACACAGACACACAGACACACACAGACACACACAGACACACACACAGACACACGCACACAGACACACGCACACAGACACACACACACAGACACACGCACACACACACACACACAGACACAGACACACGCACACACACACACACACACACACACACACACACACACACGGGCTCCTTTGCAGGTTTGTATATAGTTAAACCACTCTGCCTCCTGAGGGCCCAGGACAGAGCCTGGCACACAGCAGACCTCCCCCAGACACTTGCCAGATTAGTCTAAAGAAATATGGACTGGTGATAGCTCTAGACAGATGCACAGTTAGCACAAGACAGTGTCCTAAGAAATCCCAGTAAGAAAGTCCCCGGGCCTGCAGGAGCCCTTACTGGGATGAAGTTGGCGTTGATGTAGTCAGAATGAGGTTCTCCCGCCAGCTGGACCAGTCTGACCCTGGAGTGGTCATCTGCCGAGAGTAGGTGATACAGACTTGGAACCAGCACAGGTAGCCCCTCCTTAGGGCTGAGCTCTAACCCGCTGTCCACAACCTCCCTCCTGCTCCCAGCATTTGCTCACAGGGTAGCACGTGTGGGTACCGGTTCTTGGTGGTGTTGTCAGGATGCTCTGCCTCTAGTCTGGGCTGCTCCCTGCCTACCTCCTTCAGCTCCTATGAAGGCAAGGCAGGTCCTAGTGGCTGAGGCAGACCCATCTCACCCCACAGCAGACAGGGTAAGGATGGTGAGAATGCGGCTGGAAGGCAGGTCCAGCCCAGCCTAGATGCCCTGGTCCTCCCTCCTTGGAGTACTGGGTGACACAGGACTCACCTCAAATTCCTGGAAGAAAGCCTGGTGTGCATGTGCACTCTTGGCCTCATAGCTTTGCCGGAAGCTATGGATGGGGATGGGCCGATGGGTCCGCCTGGCAGAAGGGAAGGGAATAGACGCCAGCTTTGGGTGTGCAGAGTCCTGCCCTACCCTGCCCTGGGAGACAGGTGCAAAACTAGCTGTACAATGTGGCCACAGGGAAGACGGGCATCGGACATGCAGATCCTGGACCGCCCTGCCCTCCCTGTGTAGAACAGAAAGCTTCTCTAGGACCCAGCAGGCCCACAAGCCCATAGTGAGGAAACCAGGAGCAGCAAGGGAGACAGGCCAGAGGGCAGAAGTTCATATATATGTATGCCAGGGGCCACGACTGATTGCTTGTTTATTTTGGAGTTTCTTTAGTATTGGGGATCAAAACTAGGGCCTACATATGGTAGGCAAGTGCTCTGAGCTGCAGCCCAGCCTACACGGGGTCAGTTCAACAGGAAGTCAATATGAGGAAAAGAGAGCTGGCCTGATTTCAACCTGATTCAATCCACATAGTTTTTCCAGGTTTCACTTCACCTTTTAAAGTGTATTTATTGCTTTGCCTTTTATAATGTATTTTTCAATAAAATACGGATTTTTTAAAGGTCCACATGGTTTGTCAGAAAGCCAGATAGCCAGGACTGGAGGAAGGGTGTGCGATGTTTAATCTATGTACCACCTTGGCTGGGTCATGGTGTCTAAATTATAGTTAAACATTATGGATGATCTGAAGACATTTGTGGGTGAGATTAACATTTAATGTGTCTGACCAACTCTGATTTTTCTTTAGATGATATTAATATTTTGCCCCTTTTTTGGCAAGTATGAATATGTGGTCACATGGAGTTAAGATCCGATGTCATTCTCAGTCACTCTTTCCCTCGTTCACTGAGTCGGTGTCTCAGTGTTCACCATCTTGGCTATTCTAGCTAGCCAGTTTGCTCCTCAGGTCTCATCGCCCCCTTCTGATCTCTGCAATTACAGGCGGGCCGCCATGCCCCCCCGATCCCCAGCTGCCACACTTCCATAGCAGGTGCTTCATCCACTGAGCCATCTTTCCGGTTCTCTTTGAAAGTAACAGCTGTGCAGGTCAAGCAGGCGATGCTCCTATGTGAGGGGCCTTGTCCAAGCAGTTAAAATCCTTAATACAAGCAAGTCTGACCTGTCCCCACTAGGGGGAGTTCTGTCAGCAGATGCCTTCAGACCCTTCCCTGGGTCTCTGGCCTGCTACCTCATGGCTCCCCACTCCTTGGTCCTATCTCTCTGAAAGCCTTGACTTCTGCAGTGAGTTTGAACAGGAGGAAAAAGCAGAAGAGCTGAAAGAGAGGGGCAGCGGTTAAAAAGCCGGAGAAGAGATGGGGGGCTGGTCAACAAAGACTAGAGCCCCCTGTCTGGTGCAGCCCCGGGGAGCTTGGCAGAGCCACTAGCAGGCTGTGCTGTAGGGCCATGCTGCTGCAGCATCATTGGGAAGAAGCATGTTTCAATGCACTCACCGCAGGTTGTAAGGCATCATCTCTTGGGAAAAACCATCCTTCTCCGGCCTTTGACAGGGGAGAGGCGAATAGGAGGCGATGGAGGGCTATGGGTCACAACCGGCAAGTCACACTGGGCTTCCCGGCCCCACCTGCCTCCTCCTCACCTTGGTCCTCTCAGGCGCCACCAACACAGCAAGCACAGCACTGCACACACAATGAAGATGCAGCCTGCCACAGTCCCCATCAGCACCGGCAGGGGCACTGCCGCCAGAGAGATGCTGGCCTGGGGCTCTGTGGAAAGTAAGAACATGACAACTTCCTAATGGACCCTGAAGGCCGTGCCAGCCTCTCCTGGACTTGGTCCTGCTAGATCAAAGGTTCTTAACCTGTGGGTCACAACCCACATATCAGATACTTACATTACAACTCATACAGTAGCAAAATTACAGCTATGTAGTAGCAACAAACTAATTTCATGGTTGGGGGTCACCACAACATGGGACACTGTATTAAAGGGCTGCAGGGTTAGGAAGCTTGAGAACCACTGCTCTAGAGAGAGAGTTCATGTAGTGATATCTCTCCACACTCCCAGAAGTCCCAGACACCAACTGAGCCCAGAAATGTCTGTCTGGGGTTGGTGAGAACAGACAAACAGACAGCTTTTCTTCTAATACTTAGCCATACTCCAGAGACTCTCCCTAACGCTCTCAAGATGAATGGGGTTGAAGGCCAGGCCTCCTGTACCTTCTAGAACTATGCCACCTGCCCACAGGGTAGCTACACCAATTTAAGATCTGTGCAGTGTGAGCACACACGAGAGGTCAGAGGCTCAGAGGAAATATGGAAAAGATCTCAGTATTTTTTATTTGCTTGGGTTTTGCTTTGTTTTGTTTTTTTGTCTAACAGAGCCTCAAGTATCCCAGGACGACATCCAGCCAACTATTTGAGGATGGCCTTGAACTCCTGATTCTCCTGCCTCCACTTTCCAAGTGCTAGGATCACAGCATTCTTCTATTGAAAGCTAGTGATCCAACCTAGGACTCAGCATCCAACCTAGGCAACCACATCCCCACTCTGCCTCTCAATCACCTTTTAATTGATATTTTGAACATTAGCTTATTTTTAAGTATTCTGACTTAAATAAAAACAGTTCTTAAAAGTAAATGTTGCTTTTAGTAGAGAATAAAAATTGTGTTTCCTGTTGTTTGTTATTGTTGTTGTTGTTTATTTGTTGAAACAGGGTCTCAGCTACAAAGCCCTGACTGGCCTGGAACTGGGCAGATCAAGGTTAAGCTTGCCTGCTTCTGCCTCTGGGCGAGGGGGGGTGGGGAATTAAAGGCATATGCCACCACACACAGCCATCTCTTTCTTTTTAGCTTCCAATGTACCTACCAGAAAATTCTAAGTTAGATAAACTGTTTGGCTACATTGGAATCTCCCCTGAGGTTCCTTCTGACAGAACTGTCCTTGAACACAGGGGGCCTGGGAATAGCCAGTTACAGAAAGTGGCACAGGGGGTGCCAGGGACTGTGCACAGTCGCAACCCCCTCAGTAGGTTCCTCTCCCACACTTGCTCCTAGCCCCCATCCCAGGTCTGAAGTCTAGTGCACCTCACTGAGGGTCTGGTCCCCAAAACTGCTAGGTAGCACTTGACCCGCAGGAGCCTAAGCTCGGTCCCTCCCACCTCTGACTTTAACAGAGGGGGTACCAGCACCCCTCCCGTCTCCGGTGTCTAGCCAGAACCTAGCCACGTGCCAGGCCTACCTGAGAAAGCCGAGAAGGTGATGATGGTCTCAGGAAGGTTAAGCCTACTGAAGGCTGCGACACTGAATCTGGGACAAAGATGCAGATGTTATGCCGAGAAGGAGCAGCCAAGAGGAAACCCTGACTGAGAAACAGCAGTGGCCACCTCAGCTAGCTAGCTTCCATCCTGCTCTGTCAAGGGGTTGGACAGCCTGTTCCCCATCACCCTATGTAGAACACTGCTTACTTGTCCTGAAAGCAACAGGTAGCTCTAGATATAGGGACCTGAAGAGCCTTGGATTTTCCCTGAAAGTCTCCAAAGAATCCATTTCCCAATTCATTTTAACAAAAGAACCATGTAACGGGCAAGGCTCTCCTTATTTGCACTGACGCCAGGAAAACTGATCTGGATAACTATGGACCCTTGTGGACTAACACTCGCAATCTGTTTGTGAGTCTGCCCTTATCTATTGTAGAAAGAACTTGATCCCAAAGTGGGGTTTAGAGAAACCCCTCCCCACAGCCCTAGCCCTCACCTATACTGGAAACCTGGCTTGAGATGCCCATTGCATATCTCCTGGGTGTGGCCACAGTCCTCTGTACCCACAGGCACTGTCCAGGATCTTGGTACGGTCCAAGGCCCTGGGTAGAAGGGATTGGGGAACAGCACAGCCAGATAGGAGTCTCGCCCTCCGTAGTAGTGGTCGTACCACGTGTGGTTGATGGCTTCCCGAGAAGGTCGGGCCACTGAAAAGGAGCAGGGAAGAGGCAGGACAAGGTGGGCAGTAGATCAGGCGGCTCTCCCGTTTCATTACTATGCACCCCCATGCCCAACCCAACACCACTCTTATTCTCAGTAACAACCAAGGCCCTGTTCTGTTACAGACTGGCCCTGGCGCTGGCTTTCCATCCACTCTCTCCCCTAGCCCAGCCTCACCTGCCTGACTCTCCCCAACCCTTCCAAGCCCAGAACTCACATGACATGTTGATGGTGGCAATTACGCCGTACCACTGGATCTGCCCATCATCTTTGCCAAACATGCCACGTGTGACTGTCACGCCCATCCCTGTCCCCAACTCCAGCTGGGGGGCATCAGCTAGCTCAGGGGGGTGCCAAACTGGGAACAGAGAAGGGGGAAACAGAGGCCCTTGGCTCCACACCTTCCATCCTTCCAGGCCATGCCTTCCTCTACCCAGTACCTCTCATGGCATCTGGTAACAAATGGCTAGGGAACCATTAAATAAGGCCTGGGAGGGTTCTTGGTTAGGGTACCAGAGCGTGACGCTCCAAAACACAAGACAGAGGTCAGAGGAAGGGCAGGTCTGTGGGCAAGGAGAGCCCCAAGCAGCCAGGCTCAACAGAGGGAAAGCCCCCAGGCGACCGTGATAGACCGAGTCTGTGTGAGCAGAAGGCGGTAGAAGTGCCTACCCTCAGTGGAAGTAGTGCACACCAGGGTGACTGCCCGGCTCCACAGGCTATTCCTGCCCAGCACAGAGAGGCTGAGGCGGTAGGAAGTGGCTGGCATCAAATCGGGTAGCAGGAGAGCATCCTCCGAGGTGTTGACCTGGAAGACAACGTGACCACTCCCTCCCCCGACCAGCTGCTCTACCACCACCAGGCAGGCACCCACATCTCCAGCAGGCATCGTCCAGTTCAAGACCAGGTGGGTGGCCTCGGGCTGGCACAACACATCTTCCACGGGGCCAGGCTCTGAGGGGACAAAAAGCTCACATTATAAGGTGTCGGAGTCCTCTAAGAGGATTGTCCAGGGGCTCTCAAACCCAAAGGGCGCAAAGGACTGGCATTTATGCCCACAGAAGGAACATCAGCTTCACGGAGAAACAACTTGTCTTTGGGGAATCATTGCCCATCTGGAGAGGCATAGGAGGCATAAGTCAGGGCAGGGGTAGACAAGACATCTGCCTGGGAGGAACAGGTGACTCGGAGCAGAAGGCCAAGCCTCCCAGGCTTACTACCCTTCCCTTAAGGCACAAGACCTACCCACAGATAGCACCACAGAGTGAGTGGAGGCCTGGAGCGGCCCGGCCTGACACTTCACAGACATCAAGACGGTGTGTCCTGGCGTGAGGGGCCTCAGCATGAGGTGTTCTTGGCCTGGTGACAGGGGTTGCTCCCACGAGAGGTGTCCAGCATCTGAGAGTTGGGCCTGGCATGTCCCCTGGCCTAACGGGCCACTGGGCCAAGCCAGACTAACTACAGCACTGTCTGCTTGCATGGACACAAGCAACTCATTGGGTGTGAGTGGATCTGTGGAGAGAAAGCAGCATGTCAGCCAGGCCCCTGATCCTAGTCCTGAGAATGCCTCACACAGTGCTGGGGTTGGCCAACCTCATTCAAGGTCTTTGGTGTGGAGTTGAGACATGGGACTCAAATGGATCTAATGTGTCCAGGGTCCCCTCCCCCAATGCCTTTCCACACCCTACTCACGTGTCCAAGCAGAAACATTGGCTGCTGCGGCAAAAAGGGGCCCAGCCCAGGAGATGACCTCCACTTTGTACTTAGTGCCAGGAGTCAAACCCGAAAAGCTTGTGCTGTCTGCCTCCGGCCCCACACTGCTGGTGGCTGTCCGGGCACCTTCCTGGTATAGGGTCACTTGGTAGCTGTTCCGGCCCCCAGGAGCATGGACCCAGGATGCTTGGAGCTGGGTGGGAGCTTCACTAGTAACATTTACCGTTGTGGGGGCTAAGGGGGCTGCAGGGAGAACAAGTGGGGGGCACAGATAAAGATAAAAGAGTCTAAATTAAATGTCTCCTCCCAAAAAGGTTGTCCCTGCTCCCTCCATCCTTTGCTCCAGAGCCTAAGAGTTCAGTGTAGTTTAGGGCAGCAGGCAAGCTGGCTAGCCTCTGAAGCAGACCTACCACTGCACTAGGGACAAGCCCTGCCACTTCCCTCTGGGAGTCAAAACTAAACTCAGCAGCCAGGAATGATGGGTAGTCCTTCCCCAGCCCCACAGCCAGGGAGCTTGAAAACCTGTGTGTCCACAGGACCTAGGCACGGCCTCACTCACCCTCAAAGCCTGGGGTCTGGAGTCATATGATCTTAGCCTAGTCACACAGTAACACCCCTCTTCACAGACAGGGAAACTGAGGCTCAGGGAGAGTAAAGGCCTGTTCTCAGAGTCAAGCAACAGATAGAAGCCAGGTTCCCTGGCGTCCAGGCCAGACTTCTACCTAGCTCCCCCCAGATGTCTGAGGTCCCACAGCCCTCAGGGGAAGTCTAAAGGACAGTAATAGTGCCCCAGGGGACAGAGGGGAGGTAAAAGGGAAGACACGGGCAGGCCTGGAGAGTCCCTCTTGGGGAAGGTTGTGCTGGAAATAAGAGGTCCCAGCTATCTTTGCCCCAAGATCTCTGCAGGTTGAACAAGCCCAAGAAATCAGATTAGTGTAAAAGGGGGGCTTCCAAACCCAGTTCTACAGGCCCTGTAGATGTCTTTGGGGTGCTTCTCATATACTCTGTGTTTCTGTGTCTCCTCTACTACGTAGGGCTGGGGCTGGCTGTGGCAGGGAGCCTCTATTCTGTTCATACTGCCTGGACAAAAATCCCAACTCCCCTTAGCAGGTTAAAGAGACTAGAAAAAGTTGCCTTCTCCCTGGGCCTCAGTTCTCTGACCTCTGAATCGAGGACACACTCCTAAGCTTGTCACAGCAAGCACATGGGAGAGCAAGGATGGGTAGGACAATCTGCAAGGTGCCCAGTGAATACTATCGCTAATTGCTACTAATGGTTCACAGCCCAGGCAGAGCTAGAGGTGGGCTTCTGGAGAACAGTGTGGCACTGGACAAGGGACAAGCATAGGAGTCCCTATGAAGGGCCTATGAGGAGCTTCCTGGTGCCTCGGAATCAGGAGACAGACCCCGCAGACAGCCTAGCTTCTTTCTCACGGGCTCAGGGTCCATGGAACCCAAGGGACTGGGCAAGGAGACTGCAAGGGTCACTCACGTGTCCAGCCTGTAGCGTTGGCATTGCTACTTTCCTCGGACCCCCACAAGGTAGCCAGCTGTACCTGGAACTCAGAGCCTGCCGTCAGCTGGGCCCAGGAGAAGTTCTGGACCTCCCGGGACAGGAGCATCTCGTTTTCAAGTGCCAGGGGCCTCAGCCGGTAAAGCCGCAGCAGGAAGCCATCCCTGCCACCTGGCGGGTGACTCCAGGAAGCCCTCAGTGCTGCAGGCTGGGTGGACAAGCCCAGGCTCAGGTTGGTGGGAGGAGCAGGGCCTTGGAGGACAGGAAGGGACAGATTCAGGAGAATGTGAATTCCTCTTCCACAAGCAAGTTCCAAAGCTCCAATGCGAAGTTCCAACCTCCTAGAGGCTCTAAGCTCAGTTTTTAGCCTTCCCAAGGAAACCTCTTGCAGAGATGGGGCCCAACAATTGCCCCTGGCCTCCTGCCTGCCTCCTGCCTGCCCCCTGCCTGTCTCCTGGTATGTTGGCTTCCTAAGCCGATGTCTGGTTCACATCACTTGCTTCCTCTACAGCCAGCTCATCGCCTGCCCTCTCACCCTTCAGGGCCATTCACAGATAAGGTTAACATGGTGTCTATCAAATGTCTCTAGACTGCAGGCCTCCAAGCAAGCTTAGCCCAGGCCCTCTAGCCAACCTGCCTAGCCACACAGGTTCTCTTTCAGTTCATCCCCCTCCTCCTCTGGGAATCCTGCCTGACTCCCTAAGCAGGGTGCCCCTTCTATGAGTGTGAAAAAAATCAAGTCAAGCCACATAAAATTCCTGATATTCAGCAATTCTAATCTGTAAGAAAACAGTTTTGTGTGATTCAAATTGGTACACCATGCATATGCCTACTAATACATTTATATTTATTATAATATGGTATATAAAATTATATACATCATCAGTATATGAACCATGTTTGTAAGTCTTCCTTTCTGGACTTGTTCATAATCTTTAGCCTTAACATCTAACCCCATACCTAAAAATGAGAGGCGCTTAATAGGTATTTGTAAGAAGGATGGATAAGAGGATTGAGGGATGTATGGATAGGTGGCCGGATGAGGGGGCACACGGATGGGTGGGTATGGCTAGCTAACCATATAGCAGGAGGTGGACGGTGCAGGAGAGGCCTCTATTCTCACTCCCACCCAAGAGCAGAGCAGACCGTAGAGGATTGCAGACCACACGCATAGTGCGGGGCAGCCTCCCGAGGGCAGGAACTCACGGGTGCAGCCGTGGATCTTCCGCAAACTGGAGCGGAGATTCCCAGCCCAGGCCCATGCTGACACGGTGTAGCAGGAACCAGGTACCAGAGACTTCAGGGTCAGGCTGGAATTGTTAGGGCCCAAGTCAACGAGGTTGCCAGGTGACCCCTGGCTGCCATCCCGATGCCAGGTGAGCTTGTAGCCTTCCTGCTGTCCTGGTGCTGGAGCCCAACCAATAGTCAGGTCAGATGGGCTGCTCCTGCTAATGACCTGCAGTGACTGCGGTGGCAGGGGACCTGAAGAGGGAGCAATTTGTCAAGGGGTCATGTTGTAGCCCCATGATGCCCTCTGCCCCACCCTGCTGAGCCTCTCCTTCACTCTAACTTCCCCCCTCAAGGGACCATCCTCAGACGCTGGCACTCACGTGTGTAGCCCATAATACTCTGAGTGATGTCGCCCTCAGGTGAGGTGATATCCACCCGGTAGTGGACTCCAGGTACCAAGCCACAGAAAGTAACATGAGTGGCACCAGGGGGCACAGAGGCGTTTCCTAGGAGACCTGGAGCACCATCAGCGTAGAGTAGAGCCCGCTTCCCAGCCTGCTGGATAGCTTCCAGTTCATCGAGCCGCAGGCTGGCCCCAGGACTCTCCCTGGGAAGGACAGCAGACTCTGGAGAAGAAACAGGGCCCCAGAAAGTGAGGACTCCCGTCCCTCAGGCTGCAGACTCCCTCTGCGGGCTCCCAGCCTGCGCCCCATTCCAACCAGTCTCACCAGTTAGCCAGGTACTGGCCTCCATCCAGGCATCATAAGGTCCAGCTAGAACCTTCAGCCCCAAGGTGTAGCGTCCGGGAGGCAGGGGTCCTGGGAATTCGGCACTGCACTCATCAGGGCCCAGAGCAGTGGTATTCTCCACTGGCCCACTTAACGTCAGTACATAGCCATCCCGGGCTCCCGACCCTGCCTTCCAGCTTGCCCAGAGCTCATTAGACAAAGGGGTCAGCACCAGGTCAGATGGGGAGGAGGGATCTGAGGAGACAGGAGTCAACCCAGTGGGTGAGAAAACTCACTCTGCATCCTCACCACTTTCTACACGTGCCTGCCAGCCTCTCACATGAGTACTGACAGCTCCGTTGTCCACACTACCCCAGATGAATGCCAAGACCCGGCAGCTACCAACTGGCCACGGGCAACAGTAACAGAAACAATAACTCATCAGGTGCTCACACGTGTGCCAGCGTGATGGGGGGATTCTACACACGACACCTCCCACCACCTCGCCCTTACTGAAATACAGAGAAGGGAAAGAACTTCCCTAGAGACACGCAGTCAACAGGTAGCAGAAACGGTTAGCCAGCACACAGCTGTTTCTCAGAATCAAAATATGGTATCATGGTGGCAAAGACAGGTGTCCAGCCTAGGTTCTGGGCTCTCTCTCTCTCTGTACCTCTGTGCCTAGAGTAACATGGGACAGCAAGACCTATGTTGGGTTCTTCGGGGGATTTGCTTCAATGAAACCATACCCAGAAAGAGTGAGCCTGCCTGGAGAGGATTCAGTTGATCATAACCAACCATTATTACTACCACCATCCCCCCAGACAGTTGCTACCACAAATCAACCAGATCGCCCCTAGGCACCCCTAGGCACTCACAGGTCCACTCGGTGGCGTTGGGCCCCACAACCCAGTGGGGCCCAGCCGCAGCACAAAGCTTCAGCTTATAAGGTGTGCCTGGAGACAGGTGAAGGAAGGTGTGGTTGAAGACCCCTCGTCTGACCACTACGGTCAGGTTGGTGCCTCCTAGGTCGTCTGTGAGCATCAGGTGGAACCAGGCGGCCCCTTCAGAGCTGTTCCAGAAGGCTTTCAGGCTGCTGGTATTCAAGGTACGTAGTACTAGGTGAGCTGGAGCCACAGGCTCTGCAGGAAGTATGGACAGAGCAGAGCCAGGCTTCAGAAAGAAGCGAGATACCGGCACCAGCAGCGGCACGAGGGATCCCAGAAACCTAACCACACTGAGACACGCTGCCTACAAGGCTCCGGACTCAACATTGTTCTCACTTCCCCCAGTCTAGCTGCTCCCTGGGGCCCTGCCTGGCTCCCCACTTTACCTGTCCATTGGTGGATGCTAGTCTTCTCTTGGAGACTGCCAGCCCAGGTGACAACCTCCAAGACATACTGACAACCTGGCAAGAGGTTGTCAAAACTGTAAGACAGGATGCCAGGGGACACTGAGATGTTACGTGCCAGCGTTTGTGATTCCAGGTGGTAGAGGAGAAGCTGGTAGCTGTCTTGATGCCCAGGGGCATCGCTCCATGAGGCTTCCAGACTGGCTGGGCTCCCAGAGCTATGCAGCTGTAGTCCACGGACCACTGATGGGGCTGTGCCAATTGTCAAGAGAAGCGTTAAGGTCTGGACAAAGGGCTCACCATCCTGGGAGTTGTCCCCTTTGCTTTCTCTGTGCCCCTTCCCTGCCAGTCCTCTGGAGCAGTCGCCTCCTGCCCCGACCCCACCTAAGACCACACCCTCTCAGACTGCAGATGTCTTACCAGTTTGTGCAGTGAGGGTAACAGTGACATTCTGCCGACAGGGTCTTAGGACAGTTAATTCCAGCTGGTAGCGACTCCCTGGCACCAGGCCATGGAACTCAAAACTGGACTCATTTGTGTGAGCCTGAAGCTGCTGCCCTTCTGGGGAGCCCAAGAGGTTCAGACTCCTGAGGCTGAGGGCATAGTCAAACCCATCTGGCTCCGCCGACACCCAGCTCAGAAGCAGGCTGGTAGGCTTTCCCCAGCTGCTGACGTTCACGCTCAGGGGTGGACCTGGGAGATAAGGGTGCATGCACTTAGTCACCTAGCACCCCTTCTGCCCTGAAACAGGAAGACGAGACCAGGGAGCAGGGAGAGGCATAGTCTAGTGGAGAAATTAGCCCTATGACCCACCCACTGCCCACCAGAGCACCTCTCCCTCTCTGTGAAGACACCTACCTTCACCCTCCCTGTCTGGGCTCCCTTCCAGGGATGGGCATGCGTCTTCCTGTAGGAAGAAAAGGAGTTAGGGAAGCAGATGTGGAGAGGCCTCTGGAGCCCAGATCTCCGAGAAAGTTTATAAAGAGAGGATCCAGACCAGAGAGGGGAGTCCCCTTGTGCCTGACTCCCACACTCCCACCCCTGCCACACACGACTGGAGAGACATTTCCTAAAAATGTGCAGCCAGCAGACAGTAGCCAGCAGCCTAGAAGGCTGGAGCAATCTGTTCTCCTGGCCTCCGTGCTAGCCTGGGCAGAAGCGAGCAGCTTCCCTCATTCATAATGCAGACCAGCTGTGGAGCCCCACAGAGAGGTGGGAAACCTAGACATGCTCCCGGAGAACAGGCTCACCCACTCCACCCTACCCTGTGCCCACCTTACCTCCGCCAAAAGACCCTGGAGCCAGAGGAGGGCAACGAATGGAATCAGAGGCCTCATCCTGATGAAGTCTGCAGAATCAACACTGGGAGGCAGAAGGCGGAGCTAGACCCCCCCTCACCCTCCCCTTGCCCTGATGGCGGGCAGGCGGGCAAGGGTGGGAAGGGTGGAGTTTCAGACAGGTGCCAGGCAGCAGATCCCGACCCTAACCCGGCCAGAACTGGGTAAGGCTGATCGATGGGAGAGAAGCAACATCTGACCCTAAGGGGACTGCAACTCTCAGGTGGTCCACAAGCCCACCGTCCCTGCTTCTCCCACCTCCACGAGACGTCAACAGTCAGCTCTCCTTGAAGGAAAATGTCCTGTGCTTTTGGGGAGGCCTGATAGGAGTGGTGGCCTTGAACACACAGCAGAAGTGCCCGACTCCCCCACACTCTGTCCCTGGAAGAGGTCTGAGTGTCCATTTGTTCCCTCCCCTGGGCCTTGGGTGAGGTGGCAAGGCAGGCTTGAGGGGCATCCTGAACACAGGAGGTGGGAGAGCCAGCTGTGTGTCGCTCCTTTTGTCTGCCTAACTTGTTCTAGTAGTCGAGGTCACAGAAGTACATCAGCAGCTTCTAGAGCTCACCTGGCCCCTGGAAGTCATCTCTCCCATCCCTTACTGCCCAGATGAGGAAGCTGACATCCAGAGAGTCCAACCTGAGGCCCCATGTGTGTGAGGAAAGAAGCTGGACTTGAACCTGAGACTTCTGACTCAATTGAGCAGAGAAGGCAAAAGGCGCTCCCATCCCCAGTTCAAGTCCTCTCTGCTAGGAAGCTTCTGGGAGTGATTGACATTTCTGGGGCTTTTGTTCCCCTCTCCCTATTTCTTCTATTTAGGTCAGCACTACCCACCTGGCTCCCCTGCCCTCTTCTGGCCCTCACAGGCACCGCGGAGACCCAGCTGAGGCCTGGTCTAAAACACAACTCAGGCCCTACTGCTGTACCGCCCAGAGCCAGTTGCTCACCTGGTGCTCCTGCACCAACTCAGCCCTGGGAAGGGAAGGAGCAGAGTTGAACCTCTGAGCACTAGAAGGAAGCCCAGAACTCAGCAAGCTGGGGGCGGAGCTGGGAGGGGTGTTCAGAAAAACCCGACAGGGAGAGAGAGACTCTGAACTCCTCCTAGCTTGCTTCAGCAAGGAGCCCAGGCCTGCCTCAGAAACCAGCTCTGCCTACCCTCTGCCCAGCACCAGGGGCTGCTGCCCGCCCTACCCCCACCGCAGCTCTGTCCAACCCCAAACCTCAGAGCCGCCCACTGGTCTGGATGGGGTCCTGGAAACTTAGAACTGCAGACTCATCAAAATTTCCAGGCTGTGTAGGAGTGTGTGTGTGTGTGTGTGTGTGTGTGTGTGTGTGTGTGTGTGTGGCACTTCTGAAAGAGGCAGGGAAGGGGGCTAGCAACCAGGGAAACCGGGGGTGGGGAGATGTCTCAGGCCTCAGTCTGGCCAAGATGTAGAGGAGACATCCTAACCTGGTCCTTGGCCAACCCCACCTCACCTGGGAACACTTCACTCTGTTTCTTCTAGCAGAGTCCCTGTGAACGGCCACAGAGGGCAGAGGTGGGGTGCGAGCATCTTAATTCAGAATCTGAGCAGAGGAGACATAGCAGAGAGTGCCTGTGGTCAAAGGGTCGGGGTCCCAAAGTCCTTACAAAAGAGAGACCTGTGGGGACAGAACTTCTTCATAGCTAGTCCTATGGACCCAGCCTTGAGGATTTTTGGCCCTAGAAGGCTCTCTTACCAGCCCCACCCTGTTAGAGCAGCCTTGAGGATGAGAGATAGGCTCAGAAGAGGGTCAAAAAGCAGCTCCCCAGCCCCGACCCCCGTGCCCAAGCCAAGATTCTCTATTCAGCAAAAATGTACTGCTCCCAGCAGCCACCCCCACAGACAAAGCCACATCCTCTGCCTAGAAAACCCTTGGGGTCCTCCCTAGCTCCTGAAGCCTACCTTCTCAGTGTGAAAGCAGTTGGCCAGGAGGCAGAGGAAGGCAGAGGGCTGGTCCTGGCATCCCAACTTCCAAGTGTGAACTAGCCTGGTGCCTCCTGGCAGCTGTTGGAGGCTGCTCTTCCGGCTCCTCCTCTGCTCTCCCACAGCCTGAAGCCAGGCCTTGGGCATCCCCCACACTAAAGGAAGATAATTACCAGGCAGACGAGAATGGGGCGCCCCCTCTTCCTCCCACAAACTGGGGAAGGTCGCCAGGAAAAGGCGACGGTCCAGCTTCTACTGAGAAGGGAGAGAGAACTCAGCTGGTGGTGATGTGTTGTGTGTGGGGACTAACAGTGTGCATAAGCCTGCATCCAGGACAACACAGTGGGAGGGACACAGAGAGCCCCTGGGGGGAAAGGGCCACTGTGGGACAAGTCCATTCCTCTGGTTCTGGACTTGGGAGAAAGGAAAGGAATCTCCTTCAGCTTGAAGTCATCCTGCCGAGGCACTGAGTCTGGCAGCAGGCATAGATAGAGCAGGGCTATTTCCTGGCACCCGGGGAAGGCTAGCCATGGTTCCCATATGCTGAGCTGGCAAGGGCCATTGGTCCTCTCCACCAGTGATGAGGGGTATGAGAAAGTCCTTACAACTGCAGACATCAAAAAGATAGCAGGGGAAACTGGGTCAGGGAGGGGCACCCAGGAGAGCTGCCACAGAGGACATGCTGGGGTGCCTCCTCAGACTTCATGCCATGGCTAACTGCACCTCTCTACCCCACTCACCCTGTCTCCTTGGGTGCCTTCCGGACTCCTCCTTGGTGAGCTCTCCCCCACACTACCAAGGACAAGCCCAGGCTTGCAGGGGTGAGAACGAAGAGCTGCCTCGGTATCTGAGGGGAATGGAAGCACTCGGGGAACAGACACCTAGCATCCTGGGGTTTCTCCAGAGAGCCCCTGGGGAGGCCAGCTCGGGAGGGGAGAGCAACAGGTGGAGGGGGCCAGACCCAGACTCCTCCATCCTTTCCGTACCCACCCAAAGCAGCCGGCGATGGTACGGGGTGGCAACCTTTACCCAGAGCTGCAGGGGAAAGGACTTCTGGGAACTACAGGAGCGCTAGGGACAGTTGTGGCCCCTGGGATGGTAACTGGGGTCGAGGGCAATCAGAGAGAGGGGGAGAAATCTCTGACTGAGCACAGGACCACAGGTGAGTGAGACTCCAGTGGGCTGAGACCTTGCCCTGCTGCGGCCCCTCCCTTGCCAACTTCGGCTAGCATCTAAGCACAGACACCATTCTGTGCCAACTCTGAAGCAAGGGGCTCTTTCAGCCCATTTTGGGCTGCTGGGAGTAACTCCCTCTAGAATCTCTCCACTGCTTTGTCTGAACTTCCAGACAAAGATGAAGGCTGGCTGGAAGAGGGGAGGGGAAAAAGGGATGAGAGACACAGAGCCAAGACTCAGCCCCATGCTGCTTCCACCACCAGGTGGGGCTCCCTAGCTCCCTGCCCTAGTCAGTTTCTCCTGCTTCTCCTGTCTGTGATTCCAAACACTGGGTCTGTGGGCAAAGTGCTTCACAGGCCTTGGTCCCACAAGAGGTTACTGTCCTGTTGTCTTCCCCTGGGAGAAAGAAAACCGTTGGAGAATCTGAGACTCGAACAAGCCCAGGAACTTGGCCAAGGTCACACCGCCACTAAGCACCAGTTTGCTTATTAGGCAACTTCCAACTATGATTTTACATCCTCTAAAGTTGAAGGTACCAGAACCTAATGCCCAGTCAGAAAGACAAGTCTGCAAGGTGAGAGAAGGCAGTTCGCTAGCTGGGTGCCCCCAGACCCCAGGTATGGGAGCGTCCTGCAGAGGAGGGGGCGTCACTTTCAGGGGTGTCCAGGTATGGGAACATCCTGCAGAGGAGAGGGTGTCACCTTCAGGGGTGTCCAGGTATGGAAACATCCTGCAGAGGAGGGGGTGTCACCTTCAGGGGTGTCCAGGTATGGGAATGTCCTGCAGAGGAGGGGGTGTCACCTTCAGGGGTGTCCAGGTATGGGAGCATCCTGCAGAGGAGGGGGTGTCACCTTCAGGGGTGTCCCAGCAGCATGGATAAGGTAGAGACCACTCCAGAGAAAGCAGCAAAGGGCAGGTGAAGGACAAAGACACGTGTCTTGTACCACCCTAGACTTACGGTGGAGACTCTGGCCACAGGTTTTCATGGATGCCCCGGCATTCTGAGCAGAACAGGGAAAGGAGGGGCAGGAAGGTGAGCGAACACCCTGGGAGAGAGAGACTCAGAGTCTTGCTTCAATCCTAGATTGACCCTCACACCACCAACTCCCTTCCCATCTCCCAGCATCTTTGCTCTCTACCCAAAAGCTCAGTCTCTGACTTTCTGAACCTCACTGGGCCCCCATCTAAGAGGTTCAAGAGGTGTGTTCACAGCCAGTAGGCTAAAACTGTGAACTGGGGACACTGGGTAGACCTGTGGGGGAGGGCTTCTCCTACTTCCTTCTCCTCAACCCTGTGGTATCCTCACTTCCTTTTCTTGACTGCAATCAACAGCTGGCCCAGGGCGGGTGGCCTTCTTTCCACTCCACTCCCTCCCCCTCCACTATCTGCTAGTGCAAACCCCTGTGGGGAAGTCAAGGCAGAGCCCAGTCTCCAGTCACTGTACACAAGTGTACAGGAATTCCCAGCCTCCTGCTTCTATTACCTCATCTTGGCACCAAAGCCAGCCACCTCCAGGCTCTCCAGAGCTTCCTCCTCAGGAAAACCCACCTAAGCCTCCTAGGAGAATGGGCTACAAAGAAGAGGGAGCCAGAATCAGCCAGCCCCCGAGAAGCTCCAAGAGTCACCCTCTGACTAACTGCCATGGACCAACGCAGGTGTCCCAAGCCTCCTGACCTCAAAGGGCCATCCCTGGCCCTCACCTCCTCCCTCATGGGCCAGAAGAAGACCAGCCCCTCCTCCCACCTCCTCTCAGGTGCCACCCCTGTGCCTAGTGCATGGTATTTCTTTTTTGGTGTCACCATTTGACAGTTGAATCAGAGAAGTAGGAGGAAGAGAGAGGATGTGGAATGCCAGTGCTGGGGGCCGGGAAGGGTGTCGGGAACATTACAGAGAGGAAAAAAAAAAAAGTCTTGCAAGCAAGCATGAACCTAGAACCAGTTGAGCCAGCAAGGGACCTGCCAAAGCCAGGCAGGGGTGGGGGACTGTGGAGTCTTGGATTTGGCGTCTGCTCCTTCCCCATGCCCCAAGCATCCAAGTAGCTCAGAGCTGAAAGTGGTGAAGAGAACAAGGCAAGTCCTTGATGTGAGGGCCACAGCCTTCGACTCTCTGTAAGTCTTCTGAGGAGATGCAGGGCTCTGAGACTCCCCGAGGAACAGTCTGAGGGGCTCCTAGAAATCAACCCCAGATCCTTCTCCTGTTTAGCTCTGTTATCTGTTCTCCAGTGACTAGCCTGTGCTTGCAGACTGAGAGACAGGGGCCTAGAAGGCCCTGCTTATCCCAGGGCCCCTCCTTCCTGTTCAGAAAGGAGCAGTCCTCCCTCCTCTTTCCCCCACTGCTCCTCTGTGGCACATCTACTCTGCTCCGGGCAGATATGGCCTGGGTTTGGCCGTGAACTGCCAGACTTTGAAGCAGCAAGGGCTTACAGGGGCAGAAGCTGAGCCCTGGCAATAAGTCTCTCCCCAGGGGCTCAGCTAGAGGAACGACTGTGGGTTTCCTACGGCCATCTTCTCCGCAAGGAGGTAGAGGAGCCCATGATAAAGATCCCGGAGGTGTAGACCTGGAGTGATCGGGAAAGGCCTGCTCCTTGCCCACTCCCAGAGCCTTTGCACCCAGCGAGGATGGCACGACACTACCAGCTTGCTCTCGGAGGGCACAGGGAGGAGGCACCCGACCCCTGGTGGCAGCTGCAGCAGGCGCAGGAGGGCAGCCCGCAGCTGGGTGTGCGTGGGTGGAAGCCAGGAGGGGCGGAGGGAGGAAGCTGGCTTCCTGAAGCCTCTCAGTCCTCAAAGATAGACGGACTGACAGACAGCTGGCAAGAGGCAGCCTGGGGGACACAGCTGCTTCAGTAAGTACTTGAAGTGGGCACAGGCATACTATGGCCCTGGGGTGGGGATCCCTGGGAACAGGAGGGCGTCTCTGAGGATGGGGTGAAAGAGCATGAGTTTGGGGCTACCATGTCTGGCCAGGCATGAGTAGTGGCATATTTGGTGGCCCTGTAACTGGAGGGCAGAGGAGCCACACGGAATGCTGGGAGGAGAGAGGCAAAAGGCTTGTTCCTGTCATGGGAGAGTGCTCTCTCAGCCACACCTGCATAGGCCCACAGGGTTCCAAGCCTCTGTCCCTGTAGGTTAGCACCTCTAACCCCACCACCATGGGCACCTGTAACTTCGCTCTGGGAGATAGGGCCTGCCCCCAAAGGAGATGCCCTCATCACCTCTGTGCCCCGGCTCTCTCACACCGCCAGCTGTAGCCTCACCATGCGCTGGCGCTCTAAGGCTTGGCGAGGCCATTTCCTGTGACGGTTACAGAGGCGGGAGACTGGGGGATGGGAAGGAGGAGGAAGGAAACACCCCTAGCCTACCGCGCTGGGTAGAGACCCCAGAAGCCACAAGTGATCTTGGGGTAGAGCTGCCAGCAATGAGGAGGTGACCACACCAGAAGTGTGGCCTACCTGGGTCCCCACCTGGTTCCAACGCTCCTAGAGGCCTCAGTTTGTCATTCTGGAGAAGCCTGCTGGGAGACTTAGAGCTTTCTCCCTTCCTTCTGTGTGGACAGCAGTCTGTTGTTCTCATTTGGACCCCAGCTTAGAGCCCTGTGGAGTTGGGTACCCCCTCTCTTCCTCCTTCCGGATTATTTTCTGTCTTCACCCACACCTACACTCTAATATCTCCCTCCTCCTCTAACCTACGGCCCAACAAAGAGTTCCTGGACTTACAGGAATAAAAAAGCTAGGCCACTTCCTTGGGAAGGGAAGCTGCCTCCAGTAAAAACCAAGAGGATGGCTGGCCTGGGCTTAGGAGCCTCCTTCTAGACGGTGAGACAGGTCAGAGGTCAACAAATACAGGACGTTGTCTTTCAGGCAGTCCTCATGGCTGAGTGAGCTTTCCTTGAGCCCAGCAAACTACCCCAGCATGGTCCAGGCCTGTGAGGGGCGCTCCAGAGCACAGCCACCGACCTTGTTTCTGGGGGCAGCCATGACCCAGCCTCCACCCACCAAAGCTCCAGCCAAGAAGCATGTGCGCCTGCAGGAGAGGTGAGATCTTTCACACAGAGGGTCTTCCTTGCCCTGGGCTGCTTTCATTCCCTCCCTCACACCCAGCCTTCCAGTTCTAACAACAGAGTCCTCAAGGCCTAGAAAGAAAACTAATCGGGTTCATTTGCATGTTGCTTGCCCATCCTTTGTGTCTGAGGCACCAAGTTTCATGTCATTCCTGGGCCTGCTCCCAAAGTCTCTGGACACGTCCAGGGGCCTTTGCGGCGTTGGGTGTACGTTGGAGCCTCTGTGCCAGCTTGGGAGAAGAGGTAGACAACAGGAAGGAGCTGAAGAGTTGCAGTCTACTCTGTTCTATCTGATAAAAGAAAAGGGGAACGTTGTAAAGGGCCTGACCCTTGAGTGCCCTGAGCCTCTAGGTCAAGAGAAAGACTCATTGTGGCCTCCTCAGACCGGCTCTGCAACAAGTCCTTGAGAGGCAAGCAGGCACTCTGGGATGCTCACTGTGCGTCGGATGGTTTTGCTTGCAGAAGGGGCTCCAGTGTGGCTCTGATGCTCGATGTGAGGTCCTTGGGCGCCGTGGAACCCATCTGCTCAGTGAACACACCCCGGGAGGTCACAATACACTTTCTGCGCACAGCCGGACACCCCCTTACACGCTGGGGTCTACAGCACCAGCCACCCAGCCCCAAGCAGCTAGAGGAAGAGTTCTTGGTAAGAAGTTGGGATCCCCTCCATATCACTTTGCCCTTCTTTATCAAACCATGGATTTCTTGGGCCTCTCTCCTCCTTGCAGTCCTTGAGGAAGAACTTCAGGGCTGTCCCCATCCTTGTTCAGAGGATGGAAGGGGAGAAAAAGAGGCTGGGAAGGGGGACCAGATGCTAACTCATTTACTCCTCCCCCCCACCCCCGCCAGAAGATCCCCTCAAACTTTGTCAACCCTGAAGACCTGGATATCCCTGGTCATGCCTCCAAGGACCGATACAAGACCATCTTGCCAAGTAAGGACCGCAGTGGAGGTGAGGGGGGCAGGGTTCCTGGGGATGGAGAACTTGAGAAGGCAAGATATATTATATGCCTTGAAGCCAGGCATGGTGGTGCACACCTGCAATAATCCTAGCACTTAGAGGTGCAAGCAGAGGACCAGAAATTCAAGGCCAGTCTCCAATAGATAGCAAGTTCTAGGCTAGCCTGGTTTATGTGCGACCTTGACAAAAATGAGTAAAATAAAAAAACAAAAATAAAAACCACTCACCTCAGTCAAGGAGGAACAGCAATGCTTGAGACATCATCTTTCGACAGAGGAACGCTAGCACCACCCTGGCAGCTCAGAGATAGACAGCGGTTACAAGATAGCATTCGCAGAGGTTTACTGTGGGCCTCTGTGGTAGGGATGAACTCGCACAGGCAGACTCAGGTCTCACACCCCCTGCTTTTCAGAGGCAGACTTGAGTCCTAGACCCTACCACAGTGACTTCCAGAACTGTGGTCTGAATTTAGGCCAGCACACAGGTCCTGCCCCAGGCTGAGCCTCCAAGCCCACTGCTTGCGTGAATAGACCAAGGCTCTTTGAACACTGGGCAAAGTGAGTTTGTTAGCCCTTGGCCTTGGCCTAATTCTAGCAAGCTCTACAACTCCCGAAGAGGGAAAGCCAGCTCCTTTATCCCTCGTCCGGTGTGAGTGGGAAAAGACCCACACCTTTGGAGAGAGAGGCCCATATCCCTCACGGTTGAGTGATAGCTTAGACAATGTATTCATCTGAAGCTTGTATTCATAATCAGAACAGAAGTTTTTCCTCTGCAGAATCTCTTCCTATGCCTATCAGTTCCCTCCCATTTTATACCCTCGCTCATCTCAAGGCTAAAATACGACAATAACCCAATTGATCTCTGCAGTTCTGTGGTCTGCCCTACATAGCATCATTCAGTTAATATTTCTGCTGTGATCATACCACTTTCCTGCTCAAAAACATTGTGGATCCCTCCTGTCATGAAATATTGTATTTTATAATACATAGGTATTATGTTATCTGTCTATAAAATAATTCATCTGAATGCCTGCCGCCCACACAGTACTGTGAACAAGGTGAGGGCATTCTTCCCTCTGACTACTAGAATCCGCATTTGTTGGTCACCTTCTGACCTTTCACCTTCATTGACCTTCCTAGATCCCCAGAGCCGCGTCTGTCTCAGCCGGGCACAGAGCCAGGAAGATGGCGACTACATCAATGCCAACTACATTCGAGTGAGTACCTGCCTGGCTGCTGCAGCAGTGGGAACAGGACTAGTTTTAAAAATGAAAATGACACATGATATCATCCAGCTGTGACCAGGCCTCGGAGGTCTGCGTTTTCCCTCCTTGCTCCTTCTTGTCATAACTCTCTCTGCCAGACTGAAGGGGTGGGGGAACGACACGCTGAACAACCCCCAAATCAACCTAGAAAAGATGTTCACATTTCCCAACCACCTTAACCTACACCATTACCCTATCCACGACAACCCTCCAGATGTGGCAATAAGTTGACATGGCTGAGCCTGGTCACTAGTTTCTTAGAGACTAGTTGTCTCCTTAAAAATCGCACAATGCCAACACAAGAGGGAGTCTCTCTCTCTCTCTCTCTCTCTCTCTCTCTCTCCCTATATCTCCTTTCCCACAATCATTCTCTCCCCAGAACCCCCATCGTGTACCTTTGTAGAGACTGATTGATGTCCAGCTAAATAACAGCACCCTCAAAGCAAGTTGGCCGTCTAGCCCAACTTCTCACCTGGTGTGGGTAGGTGGATGTGAAGGCAGTGCCCCCTTGTGTCCAAATGCGGTAGGACGGTAGTCTAGGATGCTGAGGGACAAGGCTGTTGGCCAAAAAGCATATAAGATGCTTAGCAGCAGGAACTAGGTAAACAGCAGGATGCACGGATGATGATGGAAGCCAAGAATGATGGAAGGGAGAAGAACAGATTAGGAAGAGTATGCTGAATTTTGGTGCCAAATATATAAACGGGATCCATGCACTGGGAAACGTTCGTTTACAAACATTGAGGACTACTAAATCTTGCACAAGAAGAAAACAGCAGAAGACAGGAATAAACATGTATACGGCACCTGCCGTGAGAGACTGCCAATAAACTTCTTTATTGGGTTTAATTCACACTAAGTTATGAGGTAAGCAGTAGGCCCAGTCTATAGGTCAGGAAACTGAGTCTCACAGAGGCTGGGAATGTGCTTCTGGCCCCACAGCTAGGAAACTGCAGGCCAGGAATTTGAACTCAGGTGTTTCTCACTGTGCATGCCATGTCCTCCTCCAGCATGTGGCTTCCAGGGGGTGTGTCTGTGTGTGAGCACATCTAAGCGCTCATGCTCACAAGCATTCGCTAACCCCAGCACCTGTGGAATGAGAATTCAGTCCATCTCTGTCCTTCGTGCTTTGTCCCCCCAGGGCTATGACGGCCAGGAGAAGGTCTACATTGCCACCCAGGGCCCCATGCCAAACACTGTCGCGGACTTCTGGGAGATGGTGTGGCAAGAAGAAGTCTGCCTCATTGTCATGCTCACCCAGCTTCGAGAGGGCAAGGAGGTAGGAGGCAGGGTTACCCAGAAAGGTTGTACCCTACCTTCCCACACCACCCATGCAGAGCAGACCAGAAGCATCTGTGGGAGCTGAGAACACTGACAGGTCCCGGATTATATCTCTGGGGAAGATTCCTGATATGCATACATCCCGGGGAGTTGTTCACATCCAAAATGTGGGTGGGTGACACTATAGAGTTTACACTTGGGAGAGTCGAAATCCAGGCACTGACCTGAGTCATGGGGTGAGACACGAGGAGGGAACACCAGGCCTCTCTCTGCTGCCCCAGCCTTGCTCCACCTATGAACTTTCCCATTCTGACTCCCAGATTTCTCCCTTCTAGAAATGTGTACATTACTGGCCCACAGAAGAGGAAACCTATGGGCCCTTCCGGATCCGCATCCAGGACACTAAAGAACACCCAGAATATACTGTGAGACAGCTTACCATCCAGGTACCATCCACTGAAACAGACTGAAGGTTTGGGCCACTCCAGCATCTCTGGAATTCAGGCTCCACCTTCACTAGGGACTAAGTTTACTAATTTAAGCCTTGACCCCACATTTAAAAGAGGTGTTATGAAAAGAAAAAGAAATGGGTACAACCCTCAGGGGCACCTCTAATTTAATAGGGATGCACACACAAAAACGACCAACAACAAAATAGGGACCACCAGAAATCACTCCCTCCCCAGGCTACATATCCAGGCTCCAAGAGAGAGGAGAGACACAGGAGAATGCTGGCAGAATGGGGAGAGATCAGATGGGATGGGCTAACACACATGGATGTGCTAAAAATGCTTTCTAGGGGCCAGAGAGATTGTTCAGTGGGTAAGGGCTCTTGCGGCCAAGCCTGATGACCTGGGTTCGATCCCTGGAACCCACACGGTGGGAGGAGAAATCTGATTGGAACAATACAGCAAAGCTCCCAGTAGAGTGAAGGGAAGGAGGGAAGGAGGAAGGGAGGGAGGAGGGGCTTTCTGATGCTGTACACATTCTTACACTTTCAAATTATTTTTGTATCAATTCATTGTTTCCCAAGCATCCTGGGAAGCAAATCAAAAAGATATCACTGTGCCCACTTACCAGAAATGAAAGTAGGATTAATGCACTTACCCATGGTTGCGTGATAGAGGCAGATAGGCAGATAGACTTGAGCCTGGGTTCCTCCCTCAAAGGAAAAAAAAAAACAAAAACAAAAACAAAAACAAAAACACCCTCCCTCCTTGAATGTTGGAGTGGGCCATGGTAGAAGATGAAGAGCAAATTACCCGGGAGAATCGCCTTGCCTGCTCTGGGTTGGTGTCCAGTACGTACTTGCTGGCACCAGGAGTAGGCAGCAGCCGAGCCCACATCCTCGTTCTCATGCCTTATTCCCTCGTTTACCCCAGCACCAAGAGGAATGCCGGTCAGTAAAGCACATCCTCTTCTCGGCCTGGCCAGACCACCAGACTCCAGAATCCGCTGGGCCCCTGCTGCGCCTGGTGGCTGAGGTGGAGAGCCCAGAGACAGCGGCCAACTCTGGGCCTATCGTGGTCCACTGCAGGTAGGGTCCTCTCCAACCCTAGAACCAGTGCTTACCTTGTCTGCCCACTAGGTCTCTTGTGGGCAAGCGTCTAAGTAATACCACACCAGACAGACCCAACCCTTACCTGGACAGGAATCTCAGGTCCACAAGATTCGGCATTATTACCTCTTTTCTATGGATCCCTGGTTTACGGGAAGCTTCTAGTCAGGTAGAGGAGAGTTCATTTACTCATCAGACAACTTTTTTGTTTGCTTGGGGTCTTTTAGTGATTGGGTTTGGTTTTGGTTTTGTTGGATTTGTTGTTGTTGCTTGTGCCCAGCCCCAAGCATTATTTTTGTTGTTGTTTGTTTTGTTTTGTTTTGTTGAGACAAGGTTTCTCTGTGTAACAGTCCTAGTTGTCCTGGAGCTAGCTCTTGTAGCCCAGGCTGTCCTCAAACTCATAGAGATCTGCCTACCTCTGCCTCCCGGGTGCTAGGATTAAAGATGTGCACCACCACCACCGCCTGGCTTCCAAGCATTATTTTTAAATGATAAATCTGGGATGTTAGATTCAATTCCAAGCATCAACAAAAAATAAAACAAAATAGCAAATCTAGGTGTCTCAGGGAATTCTACAAGGTCCCTTCATGATGTCCTTACCAGTCTTCAAGACTGGTTTCCCACCACTGTTCCCATATATAAATAAAATGCTTCAGGCTTGTCCTCTGACCCTGCTCCTGGTGGTGTATCCATTTTTTAGTTTATTCCCTGAGCATATAGTAGAGACAAGAGGATCAGAAGTTCAAAGCCAGTCTACACTACATAGGGAATTCACGGCTAGGCTGGGCTTCATGATAGCATGTTGAGAGGGGAGAGGAGGAGAAAAGAAGAGGCAAAAAGCACAAACGAGGCACGCCTGAACCATGCAGAGCTGGCACCCAGATCTAAGTGCTGGCAGTCACCCGTCGCTTCTATTAGAAGTACATGTGAAGCTTACTTAAGGGGAAAGGGGGTAAACTCAAGAAAGGGCAAGGAAGAGAAGGCTATGAGGGAAGACAAAAAGAAATCTCAAGGTGATAGAGCCAAGAAGAAAAGGATGGAGGTCTGAGAGCGTCTGTGAAAGCTGCTCTGGAGCTGGGAGGAGGTTGTGGTCAGACAGGGAATGCTCAAGGGGACGGCCAGCGCACAGGCGGGCGCTGTCAGCCATAAACAGAGATGCGATCATTAAAACGTGCGCTGGAACAGGGCACGGCAGTGCACCCAGTGCTGCGCATGCTCAAGGCTGCAGCAATAAGACAGCTGCTTTAAGGCCCGTCTGGGCTACACGGCTAGACCCCGTTCTTGAAAACAAAAGCAAAACTAGCGCCAACAAGGTGCCTCAGTGGGTAGAGGCGCCTGCCGCAAGCCTGACAGCCTGGTTCAATATCTGGGATCAACATAGTCTAAGGAGAGAAATGATTCGTGAAGGTTGCCTTCTAACCTTCATACAGGCACCGTGGCACGTGTGCACATGCACACACTTCATACAGGCACCGTGGCACATGTGTGCACATACACACACTTCATACAGGCAACATGACACATGTGTGCACATACACACACTCACCACACACAAATTAAAATAAATAAAAAATGTTTAAAACAAACTGGGAAAAGGACAAATCCCAGCAGCATTTGGGAAGCAGAGGAAGGCAGATAGCTGTGCATTTGAGGCCAGCCTGGTCTACCCAGCAAGCCAGCAAGGGCTACCTACATACAGAAAAACTCTGTCTCAAATAAGAAGACAAAAAAAAAAACCACAGTTGAGAAAAAGACTAGGTATGGGGGAACCCTTCTGTAACCCCAGACCCCAGGACTCAAGAGAATCACAGGGAGTTTGGGCTATACAGTAAGTTCCAGGAATCCTTGGACTACAGAGTAAAACTCTGTCTCAAAAAATAAACAAACAAAAAACTAAAATCTGGGCCTGGAATTCACACTTATAATCCCCACATTTAGGAGGTGGGAGTTTAAAGCCATCCTGGACTACATAGTAAGTTCCAGGCTAGCAGGGCCCATGAGCCTCTATCTTAAAAAATTTTTTTAAAAAAAATCAATTTCTAAAGTTCACAGAGCCAGTCATAATGATGCACGCCTTTAATCCCAGCATTTAGGAGGCAGAGGCAGGTTGACCTTTATGAGTTCAAGACCAGCCTGGTCTACATAGTGAATTCCAGGACAGCCAGAGCTACATAGTAAGATCCTGTCTCAAGAACCAAAAATAAATAAGTTAATTAAAGTCTATAAGAACCAGAGAGTAAAAGAAGAGCTGGTCTAGGTCTAGAGGGAGGCTAATAAGGCTCCCAAACCTGTCCAGGACAAGCTATTATCTGCCTCCATCAAAGATGCCAAGGACGCTGAAGTCAGAGGTATGGGAGTTCCACCCTCACGGATAAAGAACTTTGGCCCCTTTCTTCTTTCATTGTTTGAAGCCTAGCTCCAACCTTCCTAGCTCACCTGTCTCCCCGTGCCCTGGTCTGCTGTGACCTCCCCATCCTCTCCCTGGTTACATCCAGTGCAGGGATTGGCCGGACAGGCTGCTTCATCGCCACCCGCATCGGCTGCCAGCAGCTGAAGGCCCGAGGGGAAGTGGACATTCTGGGCATCGTATGCCAACTGCGCCTAGACAGGTGGGTCCGTAGGAAGCAGGTGCAGCCATGTTAATTGGCAACGGCCTTGGTCGTTCTGAGCTATTGGGCACCTCACCTTCAGGCCCTCCTAGAAGAAAGTAAGGAACTCATTTTATTTAAAAAGCATTCTGTTTTTGCCAGTAATTAAGCCCGCATGAAAGATCATCTGACATGTTAGCCTGGGGGCCTGGAGTTAAACATGTCACCCTGAAGTTTCCCGCACCACCCCCTAAGTCCTCTACTCAGGGGAAAGCTAGGAAACAAGGACGCAGTCAAGGAGAATGATACTGCCAGGGTCTGTAATCCAGCACTCAGGAAGCTGAGGCAGGTGAACGGGAGTTCAGAGCCAGTGTGGGGCTACTTAGTTCAAGGCCAGTGTGAGCTGCATAGGGAGACTCGTCTTGGCTAATTTCTTGAAAAGATACAACTTGCTCTAGATACAAGGTAGCTGTAGTACTCACTGGGCTTGGAGGAGGAGAAGCAAATTCAGACTCTGGTGCATGTGTTACTGCTGTTACCACATAACACATGTGTAACCACTAGCTGTTACCACCTCTCTCTCTCTCTCTCTCTTTTTTTTTTTTCCATTTGAGTCAGAGTCTCTCTGTATTCCTGGCTAGCCTGAAATAGTTACTATGTAGACTAGCCTGGCCTCAAACTCACAGAGATCTGCCGGCCTCAGCCTCCCAAGTGCTGGAATTAAAGGTGTGCACCACTACATTCAGCACCTCCATTTTTATCTAGAGAGGTAATGTCTATTTCCCAAACTGGGAAAAGGGATGGGTTCTCTTCTGAGAGTGTTTTCGAAATGGGACCCGCTGTACACATGTAAGACTAACTTTTTTATTTATTTAAATTTATGTGCATTGGTGTGAAGGTGTCAGATCCGCTGGAACTGGAGTTACAGACAGCTGTGAGCTGCAGTGTGGGTGCTGTGAATTAAACCCCAGTCCTCTGGAAGAGCAGCCAGTGCTCTTAACTGCTGAGCCATCTCTCCAGCCCGGGGTTAACTGTTTTTATTGACAAGTAGAAAACTTGAGCATGGGAACACATTCTTGACCCAACCTGAGAAATCAGGTCTAGTTTGGCTCAAAAGCTGGGTGGATAAAGGGACAGAGTCCAGATGAGGCATTGCCCCCTGCACTTCCCTCTTTGGGTGGGACTGCCCTGGGAAGGGGCCCTAAGGAGACCGCCAAAGGGTGACTGTATGGAGAGGAGAGAGTTGGGCTTTCCCAGCAGGATGAGAGGGAAGGCTTAGCCACAGGCACAGGGCAGGTGTTCTGACTCATCCTCATTCTGTGCTCTGCTTACAGAGGAGGCATGATCCAGACTGCAGAACAGTACCAGTTCCTGCACCACACGCTGGCCCTGTATGCAGCCCAGCTGCCCCAGGAGCCCAGCCCCTGATCCCTTTGCCCTCCACCAGTCCAGGGACCAACCTCCCTGCAGGCCTGGGATGGTGGATCTGGGGAAGTGGGCTGTGTGCGCTGGGACAGCTTCTTCATAGGCACAGAAAAGGGGACTTCATTAATGAGGAGGCTTACTGTCCCAGGAAACTGCTCCAGCAAGCAACAGGAGCCTGGCCATGGGGCTTCACCACCAACCACTCCTCTGCCTTCTCCAGTGGCCCTCGGTGGACTATAGAGGAGCTGCCGGTGGCTCTGAACTTACAGACAGGAGCTGTACTTGAAATGGATTGAGAAAGAAGCTGGGGTGCTCATCTTATCTCATGTGCTCTCTGTGGGCTTTTTTCCTGTTGGTGACACCAAGAGTCAGCCCTTTGCTGCCATCATGGAAGCAAACAGAATGTTCCCGAAAGCCTTTCAAGATGTAGCCATGCTGCTGAGACAATTACTGCCGAATCCTCTTCCATTAAGGCCTTGCCCACACACGAGACAGACGCAAGAGCAGGAAAACGTCTGGTCTAACCTTGGCTAAATCCTCTACATTCTACATAGATTGCTTCACCCCGTATACCTGTGATCCCCCTCAGAAGACAAGAAAGACCCCGATTGGCCTGCCTCCACACGTGTTGTAAGAGGAGATGCAGAGGCGACCAGGTCTAGCAGCTGAGATCACTGGAAGAGCCGGGTGTGACAATGCATACCTGTCATCCCAGGAGCACTCAGGAGCAGAAGCAGGGGGATTGCTGCAAGTTGGAGCCTGGCTAGATCTACATTTTTTGAGTTCCAAGCCAGCCAGAACAACATAGTAAAACCTTATTTTAAATTGAAAAAAAAAAAGCATTCTGGAGCTCTCTGGGAGCAACAATGTATAGAGGCAATGTATAGGAGCCATTCAGAGATCAGACAACTCCCGCTGCCTCTGTGACTTCCTGCCATCTGCTCCCCAACCACTTTCTAGGGAAGCACTCTCTGCCTTTCTTCCATGACTTTAGAGCATGCCCTGGGTATCCATGAAGTACCAAAGAAAGAGGAGAGAAGAGACGAAGGGCTGTGTATGGTTCTAGAAAACCTACCCGCCATATCTTCCCGGGCCTGTATTTATTTGCAGAGCATACCTGGATAGCTTAACTTGTTCCAGAAACAGGCTGGGCTATCACCACTGCACACAGCACAGGGCTAAAACCAAACCTCAGGCCTCATCCATTTCCAGGGACCCACAACCTATCTCAGGGTTGAACTATATACCCCAGAAAGCCAGACAAGTCCTGAGTCACCCTTGATCCAGTTTGGGCTACCTGTGGGGATGAAGATGGGACAGTATTCCTGCTGTCTGGTCCTAGGGTCCTGGATGTGCTGTGGCTCGCATGAGTCCTCTGTGAAAACCACAAGGAGCTCGATCCTGGTGAGTGACTGCCCTTTTGCTTCACGGCACCTCTCTGAAGGACACGCAGTACTGCTGGGCAGGGAGGCACAAGCCTGAGATTCGCACTTGGAAAGCAGAGGCAGGAGAATCAAGAGTTCCAAACTAGCCTTGACTACCTGTGATCCCATCTAAAAAACAAATAAATAAAAAGAAACAAAAACAAGCAAACAAAAAGTGTAGCTTTGGTGCTTGTCCTGGAACTAGCTCTTATAGACCAGGTTGGCCTCGAACTCACAGAGATGCACCTGTCTCTGCCTCCTGAGTGCTGGAATTAAAGGTGTGCGCCACCGTCGCCCGACCGAGGTTGAATTTCTTAATGTTCCTCCTCAGCTTAACTAGGGATTCCACTTCAGCTTTGTGGTGATGGCGCTTGCTCTTCCACTTTCTGAAGCTCCCTGAAAGATTTGTGCTGCCCAAGCAGGCTCTAAAGTACCTGATGCTGCCGTGAGCTCAGAGCCAGTTCAGATGGGAGCAATTGCACAGCCTCCCTTCACTGCCACCCCAACCCTGTTCTAGGGAACACAGGCTCTAGGAAAAAAAAATAATAAAGACTTCTTGGATGTCCAGTTAAGTCTTTTCTTCCATCTTCTTAGGCGTCTAGGGCTCTCTCTAGCAATACAGTAGGGCTCCCTGGAGCAGGAACAGGCTGCCGCACCTTTACCCTTGGGATCCACTCTTTCCCAGTATTTCTAAGGACATGTGACGAAATAAAACTGCAGTCCCTGTAGGCAGCGAGACAGCGGTACCAACTTACCCGTCCATGGTGCTGTAACAAAGAACCACACACTGAGTCGCCAACGAGGCACAGAACTGTGCTGCTCATGACTTGGAAGATGGGAAAGTCACCAACCAAGGTACCAAGAGATGAAGAGTCTGGACTCACTTTTTTATTTCTTTATTTACTAGGTATACAATATTCTGTCTGTGTGTATGTCTGCAGGCCAGACCTCATTACAGATCCACCTCATTACAGAACCACATGGTGAGCCACCATGTGGCTGCCGGGGAATTGAACCAAGAACCTTTGGAAGAGCAGGCAATGCTCTTAACTACTGAGCCATCTCTCTAGCCCGCCACTCACTTTTTGACTTATAGATAAAACCTTCTCTTTGCAACCTCATGATGGAAGAAGTTTGGGTCTGGTCTGTCTCTTGCCCTCTCCTGATAAAAGGGCACTGATCTTATTTGGGAGGACTCCACCCTCATAACCTAGTCATCTCATGAGGCCATCACTTTAGGACTGGGATTTCAATATATGGATCTGGGCAAGGACATAGAAATGTTGAGCAATGAAACTATTACTTTGTATGATAGCTTAAACTTTAAGTTAAAAAATTCAGACTACAGCACATCCCTTCAGAACAGGAGAAGAACTTACAAAGGGCAGATGCTCTTTAATACGGAGGAACAATAGGCAGACCTGACAAGTTGGGAGTCATCTAACTCCTGGGTGGGTTTGATTCCTAGCAGTCATTGTGAATAATTCACCTTTGGCTAAGACAACATACCCCATCTGAGTACGTTTGAAAACTGAACCCAAAGCAGTGACTGGTGGGAACATTTATAGGAGCTCCACTGCCCAGGACCAGGAAGGTACAGCCCGGTGACTGAACAGGCCCTGGGATTAGCTCCTGCGAGGGAGGGTGGGGACATCTTGAGAGGCTCTCCACCGCCCACTATCAGAAAACTTCACTTTCTGCCAAAACAACACACATTTTCTTTTGCCACTGACGTTCCTCACTGGGAATCCCCTGCCCTAATTTTGCCTGTTTCCATAAGGTAAAAATACTGGTTAAGATCAGCATCAAGTTCAAACATCTATCTCACTTTGGGCTTTCTAAACAAGTGGCCTGGTAAACTGTGGTTAACAAAACAAGATGGAATAGTAAAGGCTCTAAATCCGCCTGTAACTCTCCATGGCAATTCGGGGGATGGGATTCGGTATCCAGGGATGTTCAGAGGTACCCAGGGATGCTCACAAGCGAACGTTCTGGGAGGAAAACCGTACATCCTCGCCCTTTCTTGGAGATCTTCAGCCTGGAAATGCTCTAGCTCCCGGCCTCAGGCCGACCAACCCTTCAAGACAGAAAGCCGTGCAGTTAGGGTGGAGCAAACGAGGGCAGCAGAGAAAATAAAATTACAGCGTTCTCCCCAAGCGCCCCGTCGCGCTCCTCCCGGCCGC